CAGCAACATTTAGAAGAAATCAAGAAATTAATCATGAACTAAAGGCCTGATGTGACTGTAACTTCAACCTAAGGCCTTATTTATTACCCTCAGATGCACAGACAGCTCCTGAGATTCCTCAGAACAAACCCTGACGTTCCATGAGGCAAAGAGACATCAAAATCACTTTAATTACACCTGCACACAGCCAGAGGCAGGAAATAAAAGAGGCCAGCTTTTCAGTCATTTGGATTTAGGAAGGTAAATTTATGGAGATAACCCTGCAGGGTAGCAATAAATAAAATAAGTTGGATTCTTGCGTGACACCGCTTCAGAATTTCTAACGCCGGCTCAGGAAAAAAATGAGTATTTTTTGGTTTGGGATTCAAATATGTCATGAGGAGATTAATCTTAATATTTATATAGATATATTTATAGATACACAAGAAAGTCAAAACTTGGAGTAGTTTAGGAACTTTTTTTGCATATATTATTTTTGGCATCAGTTTTTATACATTAAATAGAATTTTGATTCCCTCTAAACTGAAATAGGGTTCTCTGGCCTCTGTGATTTCTGGTGGAGTGGGCAGTGGAAGAAAAGGAAGGAGGGAGTGTGGATGAGCCAAAACTACCACTGGAGAAATACTAAAGTCACTAAAATCTTCCCAATTACATGAAAAAATTGACTGGACACACACACAAAAAAATCTACTTTGCACTGATAGTGCTTTTCAATCACAGAAATCAGGATAAAATTCCTCAATAAAACCACTCTAATGGTGCTGCTCATAGAATTCCTGCAATTAAAATCCAGTCCAACAGCTAAAAAAAGAATCTTCAATTCAAGCAAGACTTTGCAGAAGCTCGTAGCTGATCATGTTGGCATTTCTATGTGCTAAAAATATACATATTCTTTTACTTGTATAATTCATGAATTTGTTCTTTTTAATGATAACCTACTTTTTAGAGTTCTTGTCTTGTTTTGCTTCAGATTTCCTGCGAGGAATAAAGTTTCACTCTGTTCCACCTCCATCAAACACGGCAAGGACTGACATTCCTCTCGTATTTCTCAGTAAAATTTGAAATTAATCCACTTTAATGAACTTTCTTCTCTCCATTTGTCCCACTTTGGTCCAAAATGTCACTTCCCAGGGGGAGAATTTTCAAGTCCTTTCTCAGACAACCCATTGTGATTTTTTGTTTGGGTGGGAATCACAACGGTTTGGGTGGGAAGGGACCTTAAAGATGATCCAGGGACACCTTCCACTAGCCCAGGTTGCTCCAACCTGGCCTTGGACACTTCCAGGGATCCAGGGACAGCCACAGCTTCTCTGGGAAACTCTGCCAGTGTCTCAAAATACACCCTTTGCTTCTCCCACTCGCAAGTCCATGTCTTCACTCAATCCAGATCCCACTGGAATTTCAGAGGAAAAATGAGGATTTACATTGGAATAACTGAAGCCAGGCTGTAGCAAAGTAACAGCAGAATTCAAATGCTCCCAAGAAAAGAAAGATAAAAGAAAAATAACGTCAAACATGGATATTCCAGAGGAGAGAGGGATCTGGGAAGCACCCAAACTAAGATGGATCGAGATGTGAGATGTGTGGCCGGGATTGCTGAGCCAACATGGCCTAAAACAGGATTAATGCCATTTTTGAGCAATTTTTGTGGAGATTATTGTGCCTCCCACGCAGGATATAGTGCCTTCTGTGCCAGGATGTGTTGTAGGGACACCTGAAATCATGGAATCACGGGATGGTTTGGGTTGGAAAGGACCTTAAAGATGATCCAGTGCCACCCCCTGCCATGGGCAGGGACACCTTCCACTAGCCCAGGTTGCTCCAAGTCCTGTCCAACCTGGCCTTGGACACTTCCAGGGATGGGGCAGCCACAACTGGGCCTTCCATAACGAGAAATACTCTGAAGTGGTCAATTTTGAGAGTTAATTTACTGATTCGAGATGATTTGTAGTAACAGCAATGAATTTACTAAGCAGAGATATAGAGAAATATAAAATATATTAAATATATAATTAAGAGCCGTGGAAAGGGATAAGAGAAGATAACACTCTACCTCCCTCCAAATTAGCTGGATGCTGCTGCTAATATTGCTACAAACAATGAAATCATGAATTTACCAGCTGAGCCACCCAATCCATGCACAAATTCCTGGCTGGGATCTCGAGCAGAGCCAAAGGAAACCACATCACCAAGGACTCAGAGTGTGCACAAAGGTGGCCACCACAGCTGAGAGGGAGGACACGCAGCGACCTTTGGAGCTGCTCCTGACCCAGGCCCATAATTCCATATCAAAAGAAAGATCCATCAAATCCCATGTGAGTTTTCCAAGGTGAAACCCCTCTCTGACGGGAATTCAAAACTCCATTTAATTCTGTAAAAGCAAAGACACTCCAAAAGCTCCTGGACTGGGCTACCTGACCTTCCAGGTTCTCTTGCTAATTCCTGCATTCCAGGCTTTTCTCTCAGAATCTCAGCTATTTGATAACATTCGTATTTATGGCATCTTTTTGACTTCAATTCCTGCTTGGAATGGGGCGTTGTCTCCTCTGCATCCATCCCTCCAGGCCAGGCATTGGAAATGCTGATTGGGGGTGACAGGATTTTTCTCTCACCTGCCCCAGCTTAACTCCCAAAATCAGCTTCCAAAGGAATGAGGATTGTGGAATGAAGGCAGCAAAAAAAAAAACTAAAGCAGACTCAGAGGAACGGTTCGTGTTGCAGCACTAAATCAACCCCAAAACACCTCCAGCAAAAGAAAACACCCACTTCCATTTTTTTCTTCTCCCTTCAACACCATTTAAAATGAGTAAAGATTTGAAAAATGCATTGTTATGATGCATTTCTGCCTGTAAACTTCAGCCATTGGTTTTCTAGACATAGTTTAATCCAGCAGGGTTTTTTTTTTCTTTCTTTCTTTCTTGTTATTTTTTAGAATTAATTTCCAGCCTCTGGCATTGGAGTGATTCTCATCAACACGTCTGGCAACTGGGCAGCCCTGAGAGGTGGGAAATTCTCTATTCCTTCGGATTTTGCTGCTTTAGAGGCCTCTGTGATGCTTTAAATGTCCCCACTGGGAGCCTTTTTCGTGGCAGGTAGGAAAAACAAGGAAGGAAGAATTCAGGTGAGGGAGGTTTACACCAGGGGAAGGCAGAAGGGCTCAAAACTATTGAGATTCAGAGAGTTTTAACCCGTTTTTGCAGGGCTGTGACTACGAGGAAGAAAAGGAAGCGAGGCAGTCAGGATGGGACTTCAAAAACTAAAAAATAAAAAAAGCAATGAAAAAAATAATGAAAAAAAATATTTTCTAAAATTTAAAAAAAAAAAGAAAAAAATTAAAAATTAAAAAATAAAACGAGGAAGTGGCCTCAGCTTTCAGAAATTCTGTTTAAACAGAGAAGATTCACTGCAGCAAACACGAACTGGGACCTTCCACCACTAATTACTGCTGAAAAAAACACCATGTCAGAGACTGAGCTGCCAGAAAAAGTGGTCCTTTTCTTCTCTCTCAGAGAGGACACATCAAATAATTCCATGGTTTTAGACAAGTTACTCATGGCTGGCTCTGCCTCATCCGTTCCCAGTGCGCTCCTGAGTCAAAAGCCAAGTTGGTCCGTGATTTATTTGGGATTTAAAAGTGGCAGGGAATAGAGCTGCAATCCCTGGCAGTTTCTAATCATTCAGTGGAGAAGAAACCTTAGACAGGCTCTTTTTCACTGTAATTGCAAGGAATTTGGCTGAGGTCCCTCTGGGTTACCTGGGAAGCAGCTGGAGAGGGGCAGGAGGTGCTTTCCATGACAGGGCCTGATGTGCCGTGGAAAAACGTCTTCGGAGAGAAGCTTCTTCCTGGAAAAGAAAAGAGCCCAACTTTACACAGTAATTCAACAGTAAATGTGGAGATTTAAGTGGCTATGACAGCCCTTTCATGTGCTAAAATTCCAGAGCACGTGTATTGAGAGATTTTTGGGAAAATGGCAGAGGAATATTATAATTAAAAAGGTGCTGGATGTGATTCGCGGATGAAATTTTGGTCTGAAGTTTTGCTGCCTTTGAATAACGAAGATCTTGACCTCCAGTGAAGCTTCAATGTCTTCACAGCAGTCAAAATAGCCTCTAGAAAGGAGTCAAAAAGTCTCTGCAACTCCCTGAGAGGAGGGGGAAGCCAGGGGGATTTGGGTTCTGCTCCCAAGGAACAAGGGACAGGAGGAGAGGGAACGGCCTCCAGCTGTGCCAGGGGAGGTTGAGATTGGATATTAGGAATAACTTCTTCACAGAAAGGGTTGTGAGGTCTTGGAAGGGGCTGCCCAGGGCAGGGGTGGAGTCCCCATCCCTGGAAGTGTTCAAAAAACACGTGGATGTGGCACTTGAGGAGGTGGTTTAGTGGTGGACACGGTGGAGGTTGGACTCGGCGACCTTGGAGATCTTTTCCAACCTCAGCAATTCTGTGATTCCACGAGAACGTGGCAGGAAGAAAAACCTGCACAAAACCACTTCTGATGCCTCCCAACTTCCCAGCACCACAGGTGCTTAAAAAAACTTTAAATTACAGGGCAGAGTTATTAAATCCTGCCTCGTTATCAGCTGAGAGCCATTGATAGTTATCAATCAATAAATCGAGTCAATTAATAAATCAAGTCAATTAATTGCATCAACTGAATTAATTAATCATGTTTGTAACAGAGGTGAATGCTCACATTGTCATTATTGTGAATTCCTTCACTATTTATCCTAAGTAAGTCTCCCTTACTGAGCTTGTTTTTAATTTAACTTTTTTTTTGTTGTTAAATATATAATTCTGACCTTTTTTTTTTTTCTGGGTGGATTAAGGTAAGAACCTTCCTGTTCACACCTTGCACAGTTAATTACAGCCATCCAAAATTAGGGCAGGGTTGGCCTGGTCACAAGGGATGAACTGCAAGGAATCAGATCCCTGAGCAGCAGATCCTGCTTCTTATTTTGCTCTTGGATAACTCACGTGAATAACTCACATTAATTTCTTCGTATCTTTTATTTCCCAGTTCTTCAGGATGTGAGTTGAATGTGGGCACTGCAGTGACAGGACATTATTTGGGTGCCTCAAACATAAGAGTTTAGCCAAAATTTTGCTTTAAAGGCTACAGATGTATTTATATTCTTCTCATTAAATGTGGTCTAAGAGGCACCTGTGGGTCACCTTGAACATTTTCCTGGGTTGACACTGAAAAGCTTTTGCTTCCTGTGAAAAAAATCTAATAAAAACTTTGTGCAGTAAACAACACAAAGGAATTTCCAGCACTGAAAGGGGAGAAAAAGAGAATAAAAAGAGCCTTGTGGCCACTAAGTTAAGTTAAACCTGAGGTAAATTATGGCCTCCTCCATCTTAAACCACTTCTCCCTGCCTTGGCAAAATGTCAAATCTTGAAATAAAATAAAAATCAACGAGTTCTGGGGCCAGCAAGGGAAGGGATAGTGTGGCTTCTCCCTCAGCTTCAACCAACAGAGCTTTGGATGGAGGAAAGGTGACAATGGACAACATTTGTGACAGGTTTTGAGTCGTTCACGGCGCGAAAAGAGACATCTCGGCTCAGAAAACTGAGAGATGGGAGTTTCCCTCTTTCTGCCACCCGTGTCCCAGGTAGACCTTTCTCCATGGATTTTCTAAAGCCTGGGAAAAGAGGGGGTGGAAGGGGGGGCTGTTACTCCACCTCCAGCATTAATCCTGCCCATCAGAGGTGGTTATAAATTGGACAGCAAGTCATTGCTGCCAAGCCATCACTCAGCAGAGTGACAGCAGAGCCCTGGAAGGGAATCAGCTTCAGAGCTTTCATTTTTCTTTTCCTCTTTCCCTTGTTGTTGTCATCTAAAAAAAGGAGCATTAGACACATCTGCTCCAGAGCCCCAACCCCCCCTCTGCCTGCAGGGAGAAGGAATTCCTTTGGGGAGAGTCAGGAAAAGAGAGAGAGATGAAGCTGGAGTTGCAAGAGGTGATTTGAACCCCAAGCACTTCGTTGAGACTGATCATAGAATCACAGAATTATGGAATCAGACAGGTTGGAAAGGACCTCTGAGATCATGAAGTCCAATCCCTGATCCAACCCCGCCGTGGTTCCCAGCCCATGGCACTGATGCCACATCCAGTCTGTCCTTAAACACCTCCAGGAAAGTGACTCCACCCCCTCCCTGGGCAGCCCATTCCAATGGCTGATCCCTCTCCATGGAAAACATTCCTTCCTGATGTCCAACCTGCCCCTGCCCTGGCACAGCTTGAGGCTGTGTCCTCTTGTCCTGGCTGGAGAGCTTGAAAACTCTACAGAAGCTGGACCTGTCCAGCAACAAGTTTACGAGGCTTGCAGGAACATGATCTGCTGGAGACGATCAACCTGGAGGATAACCAGGTAGCACACTTCATATCCACCTCAGCTTCTTCTAAGAATGCAAAATATATTTATTTTTTTTAAATTAAATTCCTTTGAGAGACCAAAAATTCTCACAACACTGCAAGAAATAAATATTAGAATCAT